GTACCTGTATACTAAACAGATACAGCTGAAATCTATATTAAATGATATTTTGGTTTATCTAAGCTCTAGTTAACCTTTCAACTATATTCCTAATCCACCTCAAAACCTCTTGAAGCACAGCAATAGTCCTGACAAAAAAGGAATTAATACCCTCTTATTTTCTAGCTATATTACCTGACAGTTCTGCTACTTTGGATAATTGAGTCTGAATAAAAACAATTTAGCTCATAATTCTTTTTAGCAAGTGTATGCTACATGGCCCAAGAGAAATAAGGCACAGTATAGGACTGACATGTTAGTACCAGACTTGTATCAACTAATATATATTACATTTTACCATATATTTCGATAGAAATCTATTTCACATCATGAGTTTTCTAAAAAAAGCAAATGAGTTGTAAACTATTACTAGTCTTAAATCAGGTAAAGAATGAGTAAAACTCTAGTGATGGCTCTTTTTCATGTCATGAACACCTGATTGAGATAAAAATCCTGTAAACGTTTTGATAATGTTAGTGTAACTTTTTTAAAAGAAATGATGGGGAAAATTAATCAACATGTCATTGTCTGAGAATTCACTTTCATAGTCACAATTTTAGACTCTAGTTACTAATTGTTTTGGATCTCAATAAGCCATAGATTTCAGGCTGCTTTCTGTTGCTTCTGGGCCCTGTTTTCCTTCAGGAACTACCATTTCTACATGCTCAAGTTGTTTTATGGGAGGAATGAGAGGCAAATGACTGTAAATCTTGACCTTTTCTGCTTCTACATTATATACTTTTATTGTATTTAATCATGTGTTCATTTCTATATTTAATAGCTAATTAAATGACAAAAATATTATCCAAAAAGACAATTTGTGGGAAATAATTACCATTTGGAATGCCAATGGAGCATAAGTATTATCTAAGAGGTGTTATTTAAAAATGTTTAAAACTGGACTTAAATAAAACCTTTAAATATAAGTATATTTCAAAATGTCAAATAACTTAGTTTTCAGTGGTTTTGAGGGAGAGGCAGTTCTATTGTTATATGTACAATTGTAGTGGGCCCTCCACTGGGTGCAAATGGTAAGTCCGAAGTGCACTTAGTGTTTGTGTAAGAGGATAAATAAACAATGGTTCTTGTCATTTTATTTTATTTTATTTTTATTTTTATTTTTGAGGAAGATTGGCCCTGAGCTAACATCTGCCAATCCTCCTCGTTTCGCTGAGGAAGACTGGCCCTGGGCTAATATCCATACCCATCTTCCTCCACTTTATATGGGATGCCGCCGCAGCATGACTTGACAAGCAGTACGTTGGTGTGCGCCAGGGATCCAAACCGGCAAACCCCAGGCTGCCACAGCAGAGTGCGCGCACTTAACCGCTTGTGCCACTGGGCTGGCCCCGGTTCCTGTCATTTTTAAACACATGACCAAGGAGAATAGAATAGAAAAATAAAATGTGTGCTTCAGTGCAATGATCACTGATTTGTCATCTAAAAATTGCACAAATGATTTTCACTAAAAGAGAAGTAATTCTAAGCCCCAACTCCTCATTCTACATAGAGCATTGCCTACCCTAATTAACTCCCCAGTTCTCTCTTCCATGCTTATCCCTATGTCTCTTCTCTACTCCAGTCTATTTTAAAAATTAATAATTAAAAATAAAAAATCAAAAATGCTTTGAAATTCTAATATATAATGCAGCAAAAGTGTGGATATTAATTTTGATAAAAATAGCCAGTAATAGGATCTTCAAATCTTATCCAGTCAACTGTTATAGTCAATGCTACTCCTGCTAAAAAGCTGAACATTAAATGCATATCAGTGAAACACCAATAAATATAAAATGTTTGTTACTAACTCTCTTTTGGTCCCAAACATTTATGTACTTTTCCTTGCCCCAAAAAACCATGTTTATCTATAAATAACATCAAAGATGCACTTTGTCCAGATTTGATGGAAATAAGTGGTCTATATCAAAAACAAAGGGAGTCACATCATTCGCCCTTTTACTTTATATTTATAACCAAAATGTGGCACTGGAGATCTTACCAATCCAATGGTCAAAAGATGCATACAACATTAATTCAAGGAAAAGACAACCAAGAGAATGGCAGTGTTTCTTCCTAAGGTCAAGAGTAGAATTTGCCTAGACGTCCGTTCTTAAACTTTCCAAGAATTAGTAAATGAGGTTATCGGGCTAACAAGACCCTAAGGAAGCTCAGAACATCTCACTGCAAATACTGAATTTAAAGTAGTAAATTACTGAACTTGTGGATGTAAGAACTTTCCCACATCTCTTCCTGGAGTCTAGCTCCATCAAACGTTAATGTGTTGGAAGGAGATATCTTAGGGCAAACGAAAATACAGATATTCTTTTAGCATAATTAGATATATAAGATATGCTTTCATGGCATTAATCTTTATAGTGATAAATGCCAGAGCTATGTATATTCTACCTAAATGGTAGAATAGGTAGATCCTACAATTAGGATCTGAGGTTTCACCTTTCCTAATGAGCAACTAATTTTGTGTGTGTGTGAGGAAGATCAGCCCTGAGCTAACATCCATGCTAATCCTCCTCTTTTTGCTGAGGAAGACTGGCTCTTAGCTAACATCTATTGACAATCCTCCTCGCTTTTCTTCCCCAAAGCCCCAGTAGATAGTTGTATGTCATAGTTGCACATCCTTCTAGTTGCTGTATGTGGGACACGGCCTCAGCATGGTGGGACAAGCGGTGCGTGGGTGTGCGCCCGGGATGGAACCTGAACTGCCAGTAGCGGAGCGGCACACTTAACCGCTAAGCCACGGGCCGGCCCAATGAGCTGCTAATTTTGTAGAATAAAATAACTGTCAGTTGACATCAGAACTACGATATAAAAGGAGGTAAGAATTTATAACAGAAGGGATAAAAATTCAAAGCACCAAATGAAATAGTTTCTGAGGCTGAGGAAATGGTCACATCAGACACTATGATATTTGGAAAACAAAGCTTTGTACTCATGGTTAGTCCCACTTTTGATTTACCTGTCCTATCAAACTAATTTAATATTCTTCTGGATTATGTGTGTGTGTGTGTGCATTCTTTTCTTTTTCATATTATCATCAGCACATTCTGGAATTCCTCCAGGGTGAAAGATGTAGAAGGAAAGAGAGACACTTGTGTAAAGAGAAAAAAAACACGACCTGATTTTAAAACTTTCCTTTCTCATTTTCTTACTCCACGTCCTCAAGATAAGAGGAACAGTGGCAGAGATGCACTTTCACAAGACAAAAGAGATTAATGTATTTAAGAGGAGGTATGCCATCCATCGTTAGTCCCCAATTTTACTCCTTCTTCCCACTACCTTCCTCGGTACAAATACACAGCACCATATACTTCTGATCCTTAAAACAATCCCAAAGCTATGGGCAGATCAGGTGAAAGGAATCATTTGGTAAGCCCTCTCAGTATTTCCAGAGTATTTTGAAAATTATAGAGTAGGAAGATATAAACTATGGATAATTTGAGGCCATTAACTGTCTACCCTAAAAATCTGGTCAACTAAGAACAAGTTACCCCCCTCTCTGAGTTCCTCTAAAATGTAGCTATCTCACTTATGAGGAAGGGCTTAGCTCGAGTCATGGGAATCCTCATTTTCCCTCGATACAACCAATATATTTTAACAAGAGCCTGTTGACCCACTGAAAAGTGAAAATTTCCCCACAAGTTGTGAAATTTAGACCTGCTGTTCTAGGCACCACTTAGTTGCCACTAGCTTCATTCACATGGAAATCAAATGACAGTCTAAACTTCAAAGGAAAATAGAATTTTGTTGTGTAAGCCCTGACAGTTGTCGTTTTTGTTTTTGATTTTGTTTTTGTTTTTGTTTTTGTCATACAAGTGCCTGACTTAAGATTTGATTGTCAAGGCATGCACTTCAAAGAGAGCTATCTCAAATGAATACATTGCCAGCCACACAACTAGATAAAGAACCAGGCCACCTCCCCCCACTGAGCCTCCTTAGTTTTAGAGATCTTAGTTAATTTCAATAATTGACCTTTGTGGCCACTTATATTTTCTCTTTCCCTACTTTAAATTCCCACTCTAATGTTTTAAATTCACCAATAAAGAGTGAGCTTGCAAAACTCTAGGCCCCCACCCTCAACCTCAAGAAAAGCAGAATTTCAGGCCTGTGCACTCTCTCTCTATATATATATCTGCAACCTCACTGTGTGGCCCCAGATGTACTATGCAATTTCCAGGTCTTATAAGTAATAAACATTTTCTTTTTCAAAGTTTCCTGATAGCTAGTGCTGAAGTGTGCCTTGCAATCATAATAAGAACCACAAGGGCCAGTCTAACCATGATATTGGTTATTGATAGGCTGAGACTGGCACAAAACAAATTTGAGTTTCCGGGTCTGATAGTCATACATATGTGTCCACACAAGACACTTTATCTCTCAGGGCCTCAGTTTCTTTCATGTGTAATATTGAAAGGTCAAGACTAGATGATCTTCAAGATCCCTTCATTTTGAAGATGTTATATTATGCTTTTGACTCCCATGCATAATTTCTGCCTTATGTGTGAAAGAGATCATATATGTGCAACAAATATACTAACTGATACAAGTGTTCATAGTTTAACATGGTTTTTATTAGTAAAATTTTAAAGTCTACAAATCCAATAAAATAAACAAAAGGTATCATTTGGTACAGATCATTGGACAATTCTCAAGTAAAATCCATAGTAATTTGGATCACACTAAAATGAAAAGTCATGTAAATCTTATGTAATAATCATTGAATAGATACCAGTAACCGCAGCATGGAAGGAGAATTAGCAGTTACTGGGGATTTTATTCTGGTAGCCTAAGTATTACTAATACCTGAGAATGTTGACTGAGTCTGGGTCACTACAAATACACCCAAACTTTAGGAAATTAAAACATATTAGTGATACATTTTCATTTATTAATAGTGACCACTCATGTAGTTCACAGACTGACCAGAGCCCAAAAAAATCCTCAAAAAGACCTATAGGCCAGTTTTTATCTTATTAATGAATTCACTATGAGTCCATATTTTTATTTTAGATTTTGGTACAAATTAATAATTAATCTAGAAGAATTTTGCCCCCATGGATGTCCCCTTAAATTATCCTCAGACTTTCATTAAATCCAGTGAGATGTTTTTAAAATGAAAAACAGCAATGGTTAATGAATGGGTGGGTGTGGTTTAAATTGTGAAGTATTTAGTAACAATACAGGTGAAAACAGGATCCAATTAATGAATGTGTTAACTATTCTTCCTCATTACTAGAATTTAATACGGTTGACTTTTTAGCAAAGATGAACAAAATTCTTCACAGAAATAGATGCATACCTTCCTATCCTCCAGGCCAGAACTAACTTTCTCTGGATGCATCTCATCCTCTTGCTAGGACAGGACTTTTTTTCATTTTGAAACTATGATCTTTAATTGGATTTATTCAAATGGAGCATTCTAAGATTTTAATGTTTTATAAATCTCTTGCTCAAGTACAGATCTCTCTGTGTTGGAAGGATACAAATCTTGTATATGAAAATATAAAATACTTTGCCTTTCAGATGTCACTGTTTCCTGTTCAGCCCATTAAAATATGCATGTAAAACTCAATGCCCACTATTCCAAGTCTGTCAGCTGAAGGAAATTAGGCAAACAATGATCTGTATGCCTTCTGGCAGATTCCTGAGCTTTAAATTGAGAAATAACAGTTCCTGGTCTAGTATATTAGTTATGGTTAATTGGTTATTTCAAAAAAAAAAAATTGGACTAGACTACTCGTAAAAAAGAAACACCTTACTTTAAATTAGGTCAGCTTTGGAAAGATTGAAAATGAAAACATGGCACCAGAGCTTGAGGTTACTCTCTTGCTGACTATTGATAGATTCATGAAGGAAACTAGAGCTAGTCTTTTTGTCTCTGTAAACTGAGACCAAATTAACTCATTCTAGTCTTCTTTGAAATTACTCGTTTTAACTCTTCTTTTACTTTTATAGCACCACTCTTCAAATTTCATTCATTTGACACTAACATGTAATCAATATTTACAGATGATAAGTAATGCTCTGAGCACTTGGCAAAGATCAAAACCTGAAATTTGCTTCACCTTTATTTAAGTGTCCATCAGGAATATGCCCAGAGAATTTCACTGTGTTCTTTTGGCATTTTATTTTGTTCACTTATGAAAATCATCAAGCTCCTGGCCAATGAAATGAAACATAATTCCTGACATGCATACAAAGGGAGTACCAAAAGCAGCAAACATGAATGACCATCCATACTGCACATCAATGAAGACATTCTCTGGGACACAGCTGTTGCTCCTTTCTGTAGATATGTATTTTGGGAAATCAACAGCATATTCCTTCCATAGTACAAACAGGCTGAGGATCAGGCTAAACAGGGCCCCTGCAAAATAAAGACAAAAAACATTTATTTCCTATGCAAAGGTAGAATCTTAAAGTAAACTTATTTTCACAAACACAGAAAAAACTTTGACAGAATATTAACCTGGTCATTTATTTCATAAATACAGAAAGCATCTCTTATAAACACTTCTGAAATCTACAAACTCAATAGCATCAAATGTCAAATATTGTCCTCATCGACATAGTCAACTTTCACTTTGAAATAGAAAAGTTTGCCTTGTCTCTATACAACAGTATTTTAATGACCGTTATCACCCCAAAGTGAACTAGACTTAGGCCCTAACAAAGCCAGAACCACTAAAATGGTATTGTAGATAATCTCTCTCTTTTGTACTCCCTCTCTTTTCCAGCTGCCCAAAGGTTCATAATTTATTCAAAGTTTACAGTTATCAAATTCTCACTCCATATATACATATGCATTTTAATATGACTAGAAATAACTCATGAATTAAATTATTTAACACTTCCCTCAAATCTTCAAAAAAATTGAATTCAATGGAAAGATGCCATGTGTAACTACAGCTGCCACAGACTCTTGTTCACTGCTATATACTGTTAAGGTAACTCAGGGTCCAATATGACAGCACAGACTTCCAGCATAGCCTAACAGTATTCTATACCACATAGGTGCTAAAAATATTCAATGACTTTAAATGAATTTTTATTAATTTTACTTGATTTATTAATGCTGGAATAGATTATCCCTATAAACAGTACAAACATTGAAGTGATGTAGAGAATCCCCACTGATCAACAGCTCCAAACCTTGTATTGTACCATTGTTATCAGGTTGATATGTACCCCTCCACACCTTTTTAACTGAAGATAAAAGAGAATCATATACAGATGATACTCATCAACCAAAATCCTGCACCTTTAACAACAGAATCCCAGACATTTATGGAGTATTCTTTTGGGACATAAAAGAACACTAGATAGAAATTTCAAATTGTATTGAGATATTTGCTCTACGCCAAAGATTTCTGAATGTCTATTGAGAAGCCACATCCACAAAGACATATACAACTTCAGGTAAACAATATCAATCTCATTAGATAGATCAGTACCATTTCAGTACTGGTACTTTCAGAACTGCATTTTTACTTATCCATTACTTTATTAGATGCAGTTATATATTAAGTAGCATACTATTCAAAAGCCATTTTGTTTTTATTTTTTCCTTTGGTATTTAATGAATCCCTACTCTATCTACTTCATTAAGTTGCTATTAATCTCAAGACTGAGAAAGTATATGTAAACAACTTTGAAAAATATTAAGTACTGTACAAAATCACAAGGCTTGTATTATTAATAATAGAATTCAAAAATCATTATTCATCTAAGTTCAGAAGATTTTAGATAGAGTATATAAAATTAAATAAAATGTCCAGAGATATTGAATATATTTAAACTACTTGGAAGTTCTAGGCATGTAGTAGTCATTCAATAAATGGTAGCTATCACCAGCATCATAATTATATTGTGTATTGCAGCCCAATGAATCGAGTTAGAATATCAATATAATATTATATATATATAATATAATATATAATATATAAATATATAATTTATCCTAAAAAAAGAAATCCTGTCATTTGCAACAACATGGAGGGCATCTTGCTAAATAAAATAAGCCAGACAGAGAAAGTCAAATACTGCATGGTGTCATTTATATGTGGAATCTAAAAAGAGAAAAAAAAGTCAAACTCATAAAAACAGAGAGTGTAAAATTGGTTATCAGAGTCCTGGAAGGTGAGGGAAGAGGAAGAGACTAGTAAAAGAGTACACTTTCAGTTATAAGGGGAATAATGTCTGAGAATCTAATATACAACATGATGACTATAGCTGATAACATTGTATTGTAAAATTGAAATTTGCTAATAGAGTAAAACAAATGTTCTTACCACAAAAAAAAAGGTAAATATGTGAGGTGATGAATGTGTTAATTAACTTGATGGGAGGAATCCTTTCACAATGTATATGTATATCAAATTATCACATTGTACACTAAATATCTTACAATGTTATTTGCCAATTATACCTCAGTAAAACTGGGGGAAAAATCACTTTATGGGCACAAACTAGCTATTAGCTGAAAGTTATTATTTAAAAGATTTTGTTATTTGAAAAGATAAACAAAATTGACAAACCTTTAGCTACACTAACTGAGGAGAAAACAGAGAGGACCCAGATAAACAGAATTTTAAATGAAAGAGGACTCATTACAAATAATACTACATAAATACAGAGGATCATAAAAAGTTATGAACAACTATACACCAACAATCTGTACAACCTAGAAGAAATGAAAAACTTCTTATAAACATACAACCTCCAAGACTGAATCAGAAAATAGACCAATTACTAGTAAGGAGATTGAATCAGTAATCAAAAATTTCCCAATGAGGAAAGCCCAGAACCAGAAGACTTCACCAAACATTTGTGAATTACACCAGACATTTAAAGAAGAATGAATGTCAATCCTTCCCAAACTTTTCCAAAAAATCAAAAAGAAAGGAACACTCCTCAACTCATTTTACAAAGCCAGCATTATCCTGATAACAAAGCCAGAAAAGGGTACTACAAGAGAAAAAACCTACAGGCCAATATTCTTAATAAATATAGAGGCAAAATTCTCAGTAAAATACTAGAAAACTGAATTCACAGCACATTAACAGGGTCATTCAACATGATCAAGTGGGATTTATCCCTCGGATGCAAGGATGATTCAACACATGCAAATCAATAAATGTGATACACCACATTAATGGTGTGAAATATAAAAATCATATGATCATCTCAATAGATGTGTAAAAGCTTTTGACAAAATTCAACATTTGTTCATGATAAATTAAATTAAATTAGGTATGCAAGAAATGTACCTTACCATAATAAAAAGCCATATATGACAAGCCCACAGCTAACATTATACTCAGTGGTGGAAAGTTGAAAGCGTTTCCTCTAAGATCAGGAACAAGACAAGTGTGCTCACTTTTACCACTCCCATTCAACATAGAACTGGAAGTCCTAGCTAGAGAAATCAGTCAAGAAAAGGAAATAAAATGCATCAGAATTGGAGAGAAAGAAGTAACATTGTCTCTATTTGCAGGTGACATGATTTATATAATCACAATCCTAAGGACTTCTCCAAAACACTGTTAGATCTAACCAATGAATTCAGTAAAGTAGCAGGATACAAAATTAACATACAAAAATCAGTAGCGTTTCTATACACTAACAATAAATTATCTGAAAAAGAAATTAAAAATGATTTTATTTACAATAGCATCAAAGAAAATAAAATATTTAGGAATAAATTTAACCAAGAATGTGAAGGGTCTGTACTTTGAAAACTATAAGACAGTGATGAAAGACATCAAAGATGACACAAGTAAGTGGTTAACGGTATTCCCTGTCACAGATTGGAAGAATTAGTATTGTTAAAATGTCCATACTACTCAAAGCCATCTATAGATTCAATGCAATTGCTATCAAGATTCCGATGGCATTTTCACAGAAGTAGAGAAAACAATCCTACAGTTCATATGGATCCACAAAAGACTCCAAATCACCAAAGCAATCTTGAGAAAGAAGAACAGTAGTACTGGTATAAGAACAGACCAGAGACCAATGGAGCAGAATTAAGAGCCCAGAAATAAATCCATGCATATACAATCAACTAATATTTGACAAGAGACCAAAATTACTCAATGTAGAAAAGACAGTCTCTTCAAAAAATGGTGCTGGCAAAATTGGATATTCACATGTAAAAGAATAAAACTGGACTCTTATTTTCCACCTCTTACAAAAATTAACTTGAAATGGATTAAACACTTAAATGTAAGACTGGAAACCATAAAACTCCTAGAAGAAAATATAGGAAAAAAGCTCTTTGACATAGATCTTGGCAATAAATTTTTGGACATGATGCCTAAAACACAAGCAACAAAATCAAAAATAAACAGGTGCAACTACATCAAACTAAAAAGCTTCTACACAGCAAAAGAAATGATCAACAAAGTGAAAAGACAACCTATGTATTGGGGGAAATATTTGCAAATCATATATCTGATAAGAGGTAAGTATCCAAAATACGTAAATAATTTATACAACACAATAGCAAAAAAAACCCACAAATAATCCAATTTAAAAATGAGTAAAGGACCTAAAGAAACATTCTTCTAAATAAGAGATAGCAGTGGCCAACAGGTACGTGAAAAAGTGCTTAAAATCACTAATCATTAGGGAACTGTAAATCAGAACCTCTGTGAGATATCACCTCAGGCCTGTTAGATGGCTATTATAAAAAAAAAACAAAGAGATAAATGCTGGTGAGAATGTGGAGGAAAGAGAACCCTTGTGTGCTATTTGTGCGATTGTAAATTGGTACATTTACTATGAAAAATGGTATGGAGTTTCTTCAAAATGTTAAAAGTAGAACTACTATATGATCCTGCAATTCTATCAGGGAATATATCTGAAGGAAATGCAAACACAATGTCAAAGAGATATCTGCACCCCCATGTTCATAGCATCATTATCAGCAGTAGCCAAGACACGGAAACAACTTACATGTCCATCAACAAAAGAATAGATAAAGAAATTGTGGAATATTATTCAGCCATAAAAATAAGGAAATTCTGCCATTTTTAACAACGTGGATGGACCTTGAGGGCATTCTGCTAAGTGAAATAAGTCAGACAGAGAAGGAGAAATACCGTATGATCTTACTTATATGTGGAATCTAAAAAAAAGAGGAAAAAAAGCCAAACTCAGTGAAAACGAAATCAGGTTTGGGGTTACTAGAGGCATGGCGTGGGTGCTGGGGGAATTGAATGTAGGTGATCAAAAGGTACAAGCTTCCAGTTACAAGATAAATAAATACCGAAGACACAATATACAACATGATGACTATAGTTAACATTGCTGTATGGTATATTTGAAAGTTATTAAGAGAGCAATCCTAAGAGTTCACATCAA